TATGTAATAAATTGAATATAACTGAATCGAAGATGAAAGTCACTGGGCATGCCAAAAGAAGCATATCTTTAGTTTTAATAGGAAGATCATTGTACACATTTTCCACTGTGAAGGAAAACAACACACTTTTTTTAAATGTACAAAATGCTAGAAAAGTATTGTTAAATATTGTATTTATCACTCAAAGTATAATTAGAAATTTTATTTATAATATATTTAGCTATTAGAGAATAGAATCCCCCCTTATAATGTTATTTGATTGTCATATAATTTGACTTTTATAGATTTTTAGAAACATATAATTTGCCAAAGTAGAGAACTGTACTGCTAGAGATAACAGATAGAAATAAAGAAATATAAATACACAAACAGGTGAACAGATGGAGAAATAGACAAATAAGTAGAAGCAGGGAATGGGAGGGAAGGAAAAAAAAAAAGAAAGGTGGGGTAGAGAAAGAAGACAAGAGGGAGTATGAGAAGAGATGATTAAAGAACTGGAAAGCCAGACAAAGGCAAAGAAAAAAGGGAAGAGAAGCACAGAGAAAGAAAGGAAGGAAAGAGAAGACAAGGAACAAGAAGGGACCAAAAAAAAAAGGCCAGAAAAGATAAGATTGGACAAAAAGAATAAAGGGACAATAAAAGATAAAAAAAAAGAAAAAGTAAAAGGTTTCAATGAAAAAATGAAATCACTGGGAACAGTGTCAATAGCTCCCTACTCCAAAAACAACTTGCTTTATGTTGCTCTTCTCGAACACATCATTCAGAAGTTAAATTTGAGAAAAACACAATTTTTTAAAACATCAGCGAACAGATGTTAAATGAGTCAAATGAGACTAAGTATATGGAGAAAGGTGCTGTTCAGAATTAAAGACATCATTGCTTGTGCATGTATACAAATGACAGCCCAGACAAGCAGCCCGTGTTGAGTAATTCTATTACAGCCATTGAGGTGGAAGATGCCACCTTTTAGTGCTTTGAAAACTGCCTTTTCTTACCCAAGTGAGTAAAGCTTATGTAATCAGAGAAGCAATCTGATGACAAACAGAGAACTAAAACTCTTTGAAATGAGAATTTGACAATAGAAGTAGAAATAATGAGCTTCCCAGAGATATTTCTTAAACATTATTTTATGGTACCCTCGATAAGAAGTGATCAGAGAATTTCAGAGCAGAATGAGACACGCTAGTAATCATGTACTCCAAACTCTTCACAATGCCAGTAAAAAACCTGAGAGACCAATACAATTGAAGTAATTTGTCCAAAATCACAACTAACTCAGGTCTGCTAATGTTCAATTTCCCAAATGATTAGTGAACATATACAATATCTGATGTGACCTTCAGAGAATATGAAGAAAATACTACGTATATGGACCCAATCTGTTCACTTCTGTTAGTACTTACAATCGAATGATTATTAGGTACCTAAGAGTGTGTGATCCAGGAATAGTCCCAGACTGGAACACATCACTTGGTGCATAATGGCCAATACGTGTGTGTTTAATGATTGGATAGAGAACAAGAGCACTGTTGTAACCTTTAGATATCTTGACTGCATAGCTTTTATAGAAACTCTTTAAAATGGGCCACTACCAGTATCATGGAGATTACACCTGCTCCTGTGCCAGTAGTCAAGAGGTTGAGCATTGCTATTTTACTTTCCTCAAGGATTGGTGCACTCTACAAATTACTCAATACATTACATACCTCAAAAGATAAATGTCATGTGCCTTTAGGGGATATCTGGCCACACTGCTAACGACGGTGTGAAAATAAAATAAAATACAAACAGGGTAGTAATTAGATGTCCCCAGAGAAGGTTCCTCAAAACATTTCATTCATGATCATGTGATTCAAGCACTTCTCAACAGAGACATGCCCAATGGGTGAATAGTCTTTATATTTGAATCACCTCTCCAGCCTAGGCTCATCTTCCTTATAGCATCATAGCTGCTGAAAACATATTTTGCCTCCCTCATCCCCCACCCCTGCCTCTTGTACTCATATAAGGTAGCCACCTGTCTCCTTAATAAACTCTCCTTCACAATACAACCTTCTCCTACTCCACCCCTACACATACCCTTTTGACTGGATCCCACCATTTTCCCAGCTCCTGTGTCAGCTGCCCACAGTACTAAGTCTCCAACAACTGGCAGTGCCAATCCCTCTGGGAACCCTTCTCCATCTTTGTGGGCTGGGACAGACACATTAAAACCGGCCACCTCCACAGGAGGGAAGCACTACCTAAGGGCTCCAGCACATTTTCTCAGAGAAATCTTGGTGGGTTTAATTCTTGATGGAGCTTACGTCTTATTTGTATAAAATTTAATCTGTTGTATAAAATGGTATCCTTAAAAATCCATAACCATCATTTAGAACTGTATTTCCATGAAGGGAGTTGAGGGGGAAAATATTCTGATTTTCAAATGACAAATTCACCAACCCAAAAAAGTTCTAAAATGTATTTCATTTCCAGATTAGAAATAATTAAATGAAGAAAAACACACTTCAAAATTAACAGTAACATTGTGTTTAACAGACTCTGAATTGTGCAAGTTATAGAAAGATAGACATGCAACCTTACCTAACTAGGTAGACAAGGCCAACTTGTAATTTTACCAATAATTAGTTAAATTTAGCTAAGTGGAAGCTTTCCAAAAGGGTCTCCTCCAACCAGATTTATGTTAAAGAAGGCCTGCTTTCCTGGGGTAACATTTTTACCATAAGATTCTGCAGACTTTAAAGTATTGTACAATGTTACATCTTGGAACCTCAACACTGTATAATTTAACTGAATGGGAAACAGGTAGGTAAATTGTTGCAGGACCAGTAAATCATGGTCAAGAAAATATGTATGAACTTCCACTGTAAATTGTGAAGGGCTAAGCTACCAAGAGGGGATATAATAAAAATAAAATTAATTAACCCATCTCAAAAAACTTTGCTCAGTTAAAGTAATAATCTCCAGAGAGTAATCACAGGAGACATCGCTGAGTCAGCACCACAGGTGTGGTTTGTCTGCATCTATGCAATCCCTTTCAGCAACTGTTCAGTTGGTGATGCTTCCCACAATAAATCCTGAGCATCTGCAGTCTAGAATGCGCCAACTGAAAAGTCAGGATCCACCCAGCCCCTCAGGCAGGCTCTGCAGGGTGCAGTCAGCACTCTTAATAGGTGTGTACGCCACCTATTAAGCCCAAAAGCAAGGGGGGTGGAATTCGGAACTGCAAAGTGTGGGGACTTCTATCATTCTGGGAACTGCAGGAAGACAGGGAGAAAGCAAACAAAACAAAGACCCACCCCATCCCCATTCATCCTGTTTCACACCATTCTTATCCTTTACTTATTTTCAAAACCAAAAAGCCCAGCTTTCTCTTCCGTAAGCCCCTTTCATCATTGTCCATTTGCTTGTCAGGACTGATTTAGCCTCAGTCATGGATTTCCCTGGGGCTCTTGCATTTGTAGGGGATGACAAAGGGAGAGAGATTAGGTGCCTGCTAGTAACCTGGCAAAATGTCTAGCAAGTGGGAATTTGGAATGAGATGTTGGACATCACAGTTTAATCTTGACTGCTTGCCACCTACATTGCTTTTCTTAGTGTTCTAGCCTCCTTAGTTCTCATTTCCACTGCCTGGTCAGAGACCTTATAACTTATAACCTCATCACTGTACATAAGCAACCTGCTAGTCTGTGTTCCCATAACTTCTAGACTCCGCCCGATAAAGCACAATTGTCTCTTTACATATCCATGATTTCAACAACTACCACAGGCACATTACCTGCCTTCTCACCTACCTTACATAGGTAATAATTCTCCCAGCAAGACAAAAAAACAGGCCTACAGTCCCCAGAGTACCCTTCCAGGAGCAATGTCCTCTAGTCCCACTCTCCTTTTAAGGCCTCCATAACCTAGAGCAGTGGTTCTCAAACTGATCAAGTATATACAAGAATCACCTGGCAAGCTAATCAAAGACAAGCACCCAAACTCAGCTCAACTCAAGTTTGAAAAGCTTTCTCTCCACTAATCGGGAGGCAGAAGCGGGATTAGATAAAAATTAAGGGAAGAAAAAGAGATTTTTGTCAAGGAAGACTCTGTCTTCCTTTTCCACTCCGGCTCCTCACAGATCTAAAGAACATCCGAGCCCCTCGGGCAGCCTGACCTCGCCTTTCCCCGGTATTTCCCACCCCACCCCCCATACACACACACACACAGGCCCCTCCACTTCCACCCTTGACTTCCTCCCACACGGCTCTTCCCAGCCCCTCTCTACTGCTTCCTCCACGGACTCCTGCAGGAAAAAGGAAGCAAATCCAACGTTGATGGTGGGCGGCGCCCGTCCCTGGGGAAACCTGAACCAACCCCGCCTGAGACTTAACTTTTCAAACTTTCCAACTCCCTCTCACGTACGCAATAATGAAAGAAAAGTAGACTAGGCAGAGGAAACCGAACCCGGGTGAATTTCTGATCCCGGACGCGCTCGCCAAAGGAGGTCACAATTCCCTCCCCTCTGCCTGGCCGGCCCAAGGTGGGCGCAGTCCCGTGCCCTGCCGCAGCCCATCTCGCGCCCGCCGAGACCTGTTGGGAAGCCGGGAACCCCACTTACGTCCAGGAGCACTCTGAGCCGCGCGCGGCCGCGCCGGCAGCGGAAGGTTTGCCTCCCAGGAAGCTGCGAGCACGAGGGAGGGCAGAGGAGTTACCTGCCGAGCGTCAGGTCTGTGGCGGGAAGCCAATTCCAGCCCGCACCGCACCCCCCTGGGGCTAGGTGCAGAGCTGCGTGAGGGCGGGTGTAGGGACTAGTTGCAACAAGTCCAAAGTCATGTCACACCTAACCCTGTGCAGCAAGAAAGTGCCTCGGAACCTGTCTGAACTCAAAACCCAGCCCTCTACCTGCAAAGTATAAAGCTTTCCTTTCCTGTCCGCCCTCGAGAGTACCCAGCAATTACAAGTCCCCACATCTGGACCTGGGCGAGCAAGAGGCCCAGGAGGACGCTGGCGCTCACCTGGGAAGAGGGTGGACCTCCGCGGAGCGAGGCTGTGCTCCCATCCCCCCGCCCTTCCTTAGTTCTGGAATGCACGGAGGGGAGGCCGAGGGGCCGCAGGGTGAGGGCCTGGGCTGTACCACCCTCAAGAAACTGGGGCAGATTCAGCCCACAGCTGATCACTTCAATCGGCAGCCAGCAATGCAGTCCAACCTCTACCCAACTGCCAGTGTCTCTAGGCTTGGAAAAGACCAGGAAGTGGAAAGATGGAGGGAAAAAAGTGCTCCTGCGTTTACCTTTTTATATGAAAGAAGAACTTTTATAACTGTCATCAAAGATTTCGTGCCGACTTTGAACGATCCTGGTTACTACTGACTTGGAATGAAAAGACACAGTTCTAAATACGGATACCTGCGTGATAAGCAGGTCACTTTAGGTGGGATGCTATGAAGCAATGTCATGGAATTAGAGACATTATTTTATAGTTTGTTTTTAATATAAAATAATTACAACAATTAGTAACATTCATTTTTGTTTCCTTGTCTACATCTCAGTAAATCTGTTATTAGTGTTTCTAATGATTGTATAACCATATAGCCCTCAAGAAACAGTCATTTGCAGCAAATGTTAAAAACGCAGCCTAGTACTGGAAGAATGAAACTCAGGGTAATAATAGGCATATTTTAAGCTTCCAGCCTGATATGTAAATTATCATAAAATGGAATTGACCTTAAAAATGACTTCTATGGCTATTTCGCTCTGAATAAAACTCTTGGGGAAAGTGCTAAACTGTTGGGATTTGAGTTAGGTCCTGACTGATGAGGAGACAGGAGAATGAAATTTACATATTCTAATTGATAAAACAGATCAAAGGCCAAAAGCAGAAAGTAAAAGCAAGTTCCAGGACAGCTTCCACATCGTGGCACCTGTGTTCTGTATATAGTTCCTTTTCTTCAACGGCATATAGAGAATTGTTGTGCTTTACATATTTGACTTTTTTTCTTCTGTTCCTGCTAATTTCCATGTCTCACCTTTTATTATTTTTGCAACTCTGGTCTTTATTTTTGACATGCAGTTGTCTGACTCACTCAATTCGTGTTCTATGTGTGGTACTTCATTTGCTAGTACTTTTATGGTGTTCAACTATAATTCTGGACATTGCTTGAAGGAGCAATATTCATGAACATTTTGAGACTGCATTCATCAATATACACTTATTTTAAAAAATAGCAAAAATATTTAGACTCAAATGAAAATGGGCCCATGGGAACCCTAATTTTATTATGATAGTCATTTATACATACATTAAGTGAAATCGCAAAGGATATCTACTAGAGTATTAAGTATTCAAAGCAAATAAAAGAGAGGAAAATGTTGTGAAGAGGGAAAATTCATTAAAGGCACTATGCTAAGGGCTTTCCACTTTTAGTGGCATAAAAGAATATATAGAATTGACCTGACTTCTCAAGGAACCTACAAGCCAGGTGAGGGGAGAGGACACATAACAGGAAAGGAAGCTAATAGTACAATGCAGTGTAAGGAACTTCAAGTGGAAAAGGCTTAAGTAGTTTAGGAGGTAAAAGGAAGAAATGATTAACTGCTTAGATAATTGGGGAATGCTGACAGAACTTCACAAAACTGTTGGAATTTGAATTGAGTCCTGACTGATGAGCAGACTTGACATACGACTAGATGCTGAAAGGGCACAGAAAAGGCTAGACATGAGGAAGTTTCAGGACCATACAAATCAATTGCCAGATTTGGCCATAGGCGAGGCATGGCTGTGTTGGAAGGTAAGTTTAGGAATAAAGTTTAGAGTTATTTTCTCACCTACAGAATGTGGTCAGTATTATTTACTATCTAAAGTTGTTATGAGAATTATGCATTAGAAATAGTTCATGTTTAAAACCCTTATCACAGCACCTGATATATGGTAAAACAACAAGTAGCCTCTATTATTATACTGGCGGTCAGGCTGTGAAAAGCCATGACTGCAAGATAAAGAGCATGAACATGTATTAATAGCTACTGATGGTGATATGATGACTCAACTAACAGTTGGGACCTTCAATATAAATTCTAGGAAGTCAGAAGGAGCAGTTAGGCCCAGCTGTGATATGAAAAATGGTGTCAAGGATGAGAGTAGTGAAAATGGAAAGGAGACCAATTTGAGAGCCAATGAGATTGAAAATCAATATGATTTGGGGTCAGATTGGATGTGGAAGTTAAGACATAACCGGAGTTTAAGCCACTAAAAGTTATCAGTGAAGGGAAGGAAAGAGTAAATTAGCCCTGTAAGTGAAAAGTAAGAAGAGGCAGGAAAAGGGTCACATGAAAGGTTACTTTTAAGATGTTAAGGATCTCTGTAGATAGGCACTCAGAGTGTGGAGGGAAATATGGGAGGATAGAAAGAATAGAGGGTACCGGACAAGGTCCAGATGGTGTGGACAGGGAGACATAAACCTCAGTCTTTCTACCTGAAAATGAGCCTAGTAAATTCTCAACTCTATTTTTTTTTAAACAGATAGGTTATATTAAAAACAGGAACCAAAATTAGAATTTTACAATGAATACTTAACACATAACTAACTAGATAAGTGAGAAGATTGTACTCACGATTAAGACACTCCCAAGAGAATATTTATTGATGAAATACAACTCAATCTTCAGAGCATCCCGTTCTACAAAATTTAGTCTGATGTCCAAGAACAAACTGGTGGACAAGTTAAATTACATTCAACAGATCTCGATTTACTTCCCATATTGAGTTCAAGTACCCAAAGGGATTCAAAAGCAGTATCAGGTATTTTTTTTTCTTGCCCTAAAAGTACTTATAATTTAATTGAGAAGATAAAATATATATGAAATATAATAATACAGAGAGTAATATACATATGCATGAAAATACAGATAAAAATAAAAAGTACATAAATATAGAAGAAAGGAAGCAACTACAGTTTATCGGGAAAGAAGGACATAATATTCTTGGTGACTTTTTTGTCTACTTGTTTATATTGCTTTTAAGAAACATGTGTTCCTTCAAAAATTCTTAAAAAAATATGAGCTATTTCATTGAGTTGTCAGATCTCAGTCATTATTTGTAGATAAAAGTCATTATTTGTAGACTAAGTTCCTAGTCCTTTCAAGTGCTTTGAAATATTCATATTTTAATGCACTTCAAGGCAATAGCTTCCAGGCAGACAAAGCCCTTGATACATAAAGAATGTCATATCTAACAACAAGAACAAAAAGCTAGATGTGCTTAACGAAAACATTTTTCCAAAGTACTTTGAGGGAGGTTAGAAGGAAAATTCCTGTTAGTGTTGGCAAAATCTACTGCTGGATGAATCATCGCATTAGCTTAATAGTCTTCTGACATTTCATGTAAGACTATTGTGAAAATTATTGAAATGAACTTCATAATCATTTCATATATCTGCCACACTTAAGTTGTTACATAAACTATTATGTAAGTGCCATTAACTCAACACATATTTATTGAGAGTTTTTTATAGGAAATGCCTTGCACCAGACATTGATTGGGGCAGAGGATGGAAAGATTAATAAATCATAGCAGAAATAACTAGGGATCATTTATCTGAATCCTTGTCTGTGTGTGTTCACATGTGTAAAGATGGAAAAATTTAAATACCATTTCAAGTCTGAAGAGATATTACAAGCATTTATGAAAAGAGGTGTGGAAACAAATGTAAATTAAATCAAATTATTAGATAGATATGTAGATGAATTGCTTTTCTGCGTTTCTTTTTACATCTCTAAATACCTTAAGAAGGATGAGAAACATTATACTTTGTACTTCCTCCATGCTTTCAAAATTATGGTGTAATACTGTATAATTATTTTTTAATCTATAAGTATCTGTAAAACATTAGATAGTTGTAATGAATTATTTTAGGGAATGAGGTAAAAAAATAAAATGATAAAAACAGCAGAAAACCATGGTCCTTTATTTTTAAGTAGCTAAACTCCTTCAATTTTACTCATTCGTCAATGCATTTTCTCTTTTCTTTCTCTTCTGAAGATCAAACATGTGAAAATATTAGGTTGCTTATATTTTTAATAACACTCATAAATGTAAAAATCTTGCCAGTATTAATTGGTGAAATGCATAATTATGCAGTTAGGTGGAGGGACAGAATGTTAAGTGATGCTAATAAAAGATTTGAATTAAAGTAGAGATTAATGTAATTATTCCATTTAGAATATATCCATTAGTCTTTTGTTACCAGTATTTGTTAACACATATGAAAAATCATCCAGTTTAAATATCTTTTTAAATACTTTACCTAACTTCTGAAAAGTTATTAGCTATTTATCATTTTTTATGGGTGAATATGAGTAGCCATCTTCAGAGGTATTTTATCATGGGAATATGGAACAGTCATTATCACCAACATTATTAACACAATTATAGACATCCATTGCTTTTCCATGTTGTATGAATTAGGTAGAAATACATCAATAGTGATCATTCTAGGTGTCCTCAAACTCAGTCATTACCTGGACTGGATTTCACAGCAGTCAGCTGAGGTCAGGGATATAACTTGTACTTCTGTAATTAAAAGAAGAAGAGAGAATGGAGAGAGAGAGAGAGAGAGAGAGAGAGAGAGAGAGAGAGAGAGAGAGAGAGAGAGAGAGAGAGAGAAAGTAGCAGTACACTTACAAATTCCACTGCCTTTTTTGGAAGGTCTAATTTGCACTTCTGTACCAGTGTCTCTGAGACATATCATGTCTATTTGCACTTCATGCTTTCGCTCACCTTTGCTCAGTGCATGTCCAGCCTGTGGTGCCTTCCTTGCTCCTTTCTGCCAGGATAACCATCACTCAAGACCTATCTGTCTTCCTATATGGTCTAATTCTAGTTTTGACTAGTGGGGGCTCCTTAAAACTCATAAGCCTTAATCCCTTTACTACTTCTCTGCCAAAAATATGTGACCTTATAACACCCCTTTTATTATTTCTCTGGGCTGTTATTGAAGATCGCTGATATAATTTAACCTTCTCAGTGCCTTGTCTTCCAATCAGATTAGTGGTTCTCAATGGAAGTGCTACCAGCCCATAGGAGACATTTGGAAAATGCTATAATGATTGAGGCCTCTGGTCTGTACTGGAATTTGGTGGGCAAGGACCTGGAATGATATATGTCCTGTAATGCATCCTGCACGATGGAAAATTACCCCATGTCTTGTGTAAACAGCAGTCCCTGTCAAATGTAATGAGGGTGAAAAATTCATTAACAATTGCCTAAGACTAGAACTTCTCTCTGTTTTATATACAAATACAAGAATTATTTTGCTCAGTTTTAATATACACCAAATTTCTGGAGTCCAATTATAATATATTTTGCTTAATTTAGACATTTGTTAAGAATTATTCTTTATTTTATAACTCACAGCCCTAACGGAACTGCATCACTTACCAATAAAACCCATCAATCTCCCTCG